TCTGACAGATCCGATCCGAATCCGATCCGTCGGATTCGGATTGGATTCGGATCGATCCGAATCCGTGCGGAACACTAAATGTCACTAATGATCACTAGAAAAAGCGTGATCATCATTTTCACTAATTTCACTGCTATCACAGTTATCGTTGTGATATTTATTTTCATTATCATTATGTTTATCATTATTTTATTTACTACAATGGTCAAGTTTAGTATTAAATTACTAGGAAATGGAAACCATTTTAAGTCAGAGCGAAATTTTTTATTTAAAATCAAATAAAAATAAATTAATTTTATTTACTGATCTTATCGTACATGCGGCGTGACAAATGGAAATACTCACGTGATTATAAAATTTTCACATATTTCCTAAAAGTATAATGTCTTACGCTTCGCTTTGAACAATTATTGAAAGTATTTTTTTATTAAAAACAAATATAAAATGAATTGTTTATAAAATGTGAAAATAAATAATTCATGAAAGTAATTTTCATTTGTTTATATTCGTCTTAAATGTTTCATAAAAAAATTTCACATACTCATAAATTCTATTTTCAGGATTATTTACACAAAAAGACGATTTTTGGAAAATAACCCAATTATTTAGGAACAATTCCAATTGGAAACTTATTTACTGTATTGTAATGCATCTTTTCTTAAAGTTTGCATGATTTCTTGTCTGACCGCTTGGAGTATTTCATTCTTAAAATTGTCTAAAATCGTATCAATATTTTGTAATGATTTCCCTTGATCATCAAAGCTTGGAGTTGCTTCTCGTTCATGATTATAATTCTCATTTCCAGGTATTTGTAAGATGACTTGTTCATGATTAGTTGTGATATTGTCATATTTTCATGATCATCTTTTGTTTCATCTCCAAGAGTTGTCTTGCTTTCTTTTTTTATTTTTATTCCATTTATATAAAAAGAGACCTCCAAAAAATAATAAGATACCACCAATGGAAGATCCTATAACTGCAATCATAATTGACTTTGATGATGATGATGATTTATAAAATGATAAGTCAGATGGTGAAGGAGTTTCTGATGATAAAGTAGTTTCTAAGTACAGTATATATATGGAAGGAATAAAATCATTTATCCATAGATATTCTTCGTTGTTGCTGATGTCAAGTAATAAATATTATTTTCCTTATTTTGATCATAACCATTTCCTAAATTAAAAAGACAAGTTGTTTTTAATAGATACCAATTCATTAAAATGTTGATAGAATAATAGTCGTCAAAGAATACAATAATCGTTGGCATTTATCAAATGATACAACCATATAATTTCCAATTATATTTGCTTGATGATAAAATCGAGATGATGGAAGTGTTCCAGAAATACTTGGAACATATCATTCAAAATTTGTTAAATCTAATACGCAGAGTGCTTCATGAGGTTTAAGATCATTGTCTCTCCCAAAAATTATAATTTGTTGACCATCCAATCCTTAATAAAACTATAGTCTATCAGTTTCAAAATATTTTTAAATACTGAACTTAAAATACTCACCCAGAACAGCGGAAAAAGAATCTCTAAATGTTTGAGAAGGAGTTGTATCTGAAGTTGACTGATTTATTTAAATTATAAATAAGTTATTAACTATTTAAAATTAATTAACCATTAAAGATAATTATCTTTACTTCTTTACCCCAAATATCATTAATTGTGTCATAAATGTAGATCTAAAATCGATTAATCATTAAATAAATTTTATGTAAACAGATAGATTAATTCACCTCGTTTAATGATAATGAACTATCATCATAGCCACCTAAAATCATATTTATTAATATATATATATATAAAAAAGTTAAAGAATATATAGGTACAATTTATATGTTTTCTCACCTAAATAAATAATTTGTTGATTTGGTAAAAAAACAGCTGCATACCAACTTCTTGGAGTTGGTGTGTTAATTGAACTTTCTGTTTCTCAGTTCAAATTTATTATATCTAAAATAAGCATATTCATTGCTATCATTATCGCCTCCAAACAGATAAATTTTTTCTCGAAAATCGATGATTTCTGTCAAGCAACATTTATGAGTAGCGGTGTCTCCAGTTATTTTCAGGTTACTCCATGAGTTAGTTTTAGTATCAAAAACATAAAATAAGTCATCAATATTATCAGATGAACCTTCATATAATAACAATTAATCATTATTAACACCACCTGTGACAGATGCAGCATCATAATGAGATGGAAGAATATTAATATTTGTTAAATTGTTTCATGATAAATTTTGAGTATTAAAATGAATAGAAACATCAAGGTAAAAAAATTCCTTGCCAATGTCAATGTCATTATCATCATTAAAGCCACCTAAAATATACAATACATTATCAATGAGCGTAGCAGTATGAGACTTTTGTTGTGATGGTCTAAAAGACTCCGTTTGGCAATTTATTTTAACTAATAATTGAATTAAAAGATATAACATAACATATAATGGAGAATTTTTTGACATGATTGAAATATTTATTTTCAAAAGAATTACTGTAATCAAATAGTATTGTCCAAAAAAATAAATAAATAAATAAATATGAGTGCGATAAGGCACAAATTCTGTATTTTTCCTGATCTACACATTTTTGTCCAAAAAAGTTTTGTGACATTGATAAGAAAAGCGAATCAGCCTTTTCAAATTGTTTTTTCTCATTGATTGTTACAATAAAAAAAAATCAAAATTTAATGGTTTGAATATACTCATTTGGTATCGAATTTTAACTTAAGATACTATTAAGTAAACTTCAATTACGATTATATTGAGAAAAATTTGGATTTCTTTCAAAGAATTGGATCTCTTTCAAAACATTTTGTAAATGAAAATTCGCCTAACATTTTGAAAAATGAAAAAAGGAATTAATTTCTAATTATTCAAAGGAAAATTTTTAATATTTTTTTTTGTAAATAGAAATGCTCTTTCAAAAATTTGTAAACGCATTAACGTCAAATGATAATTTCAATCTAGTTTTGACAAAAAATCATAATAATACATATAAAACGGAATATAAATTGAATTTATCAATGAGAAATTAAATTGGAAACTTAAATAAGTTTAATATGAACGGTTTACATTTATTTTTATTTATTCAAATTATTAATCAAATACTTTTAAAATTAATATATAAACTCTCTCCCTATCAATAATTTCTATAAAATGCATTTTCATAATATTTGTCGAATAAATCATTACCACTATCACCATATGGAACTAAAAAATCACTTTTAACATCTTCATTTCACTGGTAAGTTTTAATACAGTTATACTACTCAGTATAAATAACTAAAAAAAAATGATTATGATTTTTAAGTCAAGTTTATTTGAACAGGATCAGATAAAGGCTATAATTGTCTATTTGTATGAATTCCTTTATCTTCATGTTCCCATAAATCTCAGACTACAACTGCTCCACTAATGTATAAATGTGCAGTAAAGTTTAATTCAATGATAGTGGGTAATTCACCCCTATTAAATAATACTAGACAAACCATAATAAATTATTAATAAATGATATTATTTTGAAAAGAAAATGAAGAAAAAGCTCACAAGCAACGTGACCATCAGATAATTCCCCAGCCTAAATATCCCAAGAACTTGTACGTTAAACAATATTTACAGATTTTTCCAATAAATCTTGCTATATGAAAAAAAAACCATAGTGAATCATTTTTTCTTTCACAGAAATCCTTTAAATTTTATATTGATGCTTACATTAATAGCAATAATCTCAGTATTTTTTACAACTTTTAAAGTTTCAACGGGTGGAGTCCTGATCTATAAAGATCAAAAGATCCTTTTGTTATTTCTTCATTATTTTATGATTTTATCTTTTTTTTTAAAAAAAATAATATAAATATGTTTACCAAACTTACGTAAAAGAGGTGCTTTTAGAGCAAGCCTATAAAGAAAAATGATTTTTTGTTCGTCAATCATCAAATTACCATTGCCAACTTATAATATATCAGGATCATTCCAACCACCTGGACCTGCGTATCTTGTAATGCTTTCTTGTTATCAAAGTATATTTAAGGTAGATCCCTATTTTAGCTGGATATCCCCTGTTGTTCTCCAACTGATCGTGAGTTTGATTTTTTTAAATAAAATATAAATAAATAAATGATATATACTAGTAGTATATAAACAAGAAAAAAATGCAATTACCTATTTCCAACTGAATTCCCCCTAGTTGCAGAGAGCTTCCTACAATAAATACAGGATAGCGCTAAATTGGCATGAACCTTCTAAGGGAATTAGAGAAGGTGAGTGAGTATGCATATTTGTATATATTAAAAGGAGTCAAATTTAAAATTATAAAAATTTATTAGGTGTTAACTTGCTCGCTCAGATAAGATATTGCCAAAGTGCTGGTAAAATTTATTTAGCATTGAGAGAGTTCATCATTAATGGTTTTTGCTGTTTCAAATCCATGTATTATAACGAGAAGTGAAATTTAATACATCTAAAAGAGCTATCGCATCTATTCAAGTAAGGATTGACTCAAAGCATTTCTTTTTATTGTAAAAATAATAATGATTATGTATACTGTATATTGAAATTAGAACGTCATTGTTTGGGATGGGAATTGGAGTATTAAAAGTAAAAGTTCATTAGCGAATTAAGGTAATTGAGATTAAATATTTTTTTCATCTTAGCTGTTAATAAGAGATCGATTTTAATCACTTGTAAATAATTCAATTATCAAAATTTTAATGTTAAAAAGGAAATCTCATTCAAATTATTTAGAATTAAATAAATAATATGATGCAAATTCGGCAAAGGTGAACATTTTAAATTTTTGCGATATATAATCAAGAAACTTTAAACTAGAGTTTTATAATAATTTTAACAATAAATAATCAGAATATTTAAATCTATTAAAAATATATGAATATAAAATACATACACCAAGATTCGTAATTATTTGCTAATATTTATTCGAAAACGATTGCCCTGATTTTATTTTTTAAAAGCGATATTATTTAAGTTAAGGTTTCCATTTTACGTAAAAATCTCATATTTAAATTTCAAAAAAAAATAAATTTAAATGTGCTTTACAGGACAGGCAGCCCTGATAATTTACTTAATAAAATTATGCAAGTTCACTAATGTACTAGTGTAGTTATTCATAGATTTAAATTACTTGTAGGAATTTATAATATAATTTATATAAAATCAAAATTTTTTAAAAGTTAAAAAATATTTTTTAATATCAAAAGAACATAAATAGATCGTTTGTTATTAATAATCAATTTATGAACATGATTTTAATTTCAAACCTCCAAAAATAAATTTAAATATTAAATATATCAATTTTTTTCTTTTTTGACTTAACTTTTGCATCATTTTTTTTTTTATTTTTTTTTTTTTACAAAATAGAAATGATAGAAATAATTTATCGTTATACAGTTCAGTTATAAATTTTTAAGGATTAAAATGAGAAGCAAAAATTTAATAAAATACATCAAATTTTATTTTTTATTTAAATTAATCAAAAAATTTTATTATATAAATTTATTATATTTCAATTATAAATAAATCTTTGTTTCCCTCCTATAAATGCCATTATATTCTCAAATTCCATCTCACTCTAATTAAAAACAAAAAATAAAAATAAATTAGGAATTATTCAAAAAATCAAAAGTCAAACATTAAAATAAATTTAAGAAAAAATTTAAATCTATATCATAATATCCTCATTTTCGATTTTCTTCAAATTCTAATCTTTATTCCACTCTGTCCGTCTGTCCGTCCGTTGCTTGAGAATTTTTATTAGAAAATTTTTCAATTAGTATAATCAAATTAATTTCAAAAAAAAAAAAATAATTAATAAAAATACACACTAGCCATAATATCCTAGTCCAATTTTCTTTCTTCAGATTCTGCCGTTCCATCCGTCTGTCCGCTACTTGAGAATTTTTATTAGAAAATTTTTCAATTAGTATAATCAAATTAGATTCAAAAAAAAAACTTAATAAAAAAATACACACCAGGATATTGATGATATCTCATGATATATTTCACTATCTAAATCGAACTGATCACATAGAAGAAACATAATTGACTTCATCTTCAGAATCAGTGGACGTAATAGAGAAGTTTTTCATATTAGTATATGGTCCCAAAAAAAATACTTATAAAAAGAAACTTCAAAAAAGAAAGTAATGCATTTTTAAAAAACTCAATAAAAAAATACAGTCCTCGGTGAAAAGAATGGCAGAGACAGTTTTTGATGGTATGTATAAACTTTATTTTTAATGTTTATTTTTATTTTTTTATTTAAAAGAATAATACTAA